CAAAACCAAAATGGACCTGCTAGTTTTGTGGAAATAATTGCCATCCAAGAAGTTGATGTTCAGCTAGAAATATTGAGTATCATAAATGCCAAAAAAAAGGGCATTTTGAAAAACTTTGTAAGTCTTCAATATCAGCTGCAGTTCCAGGTACTGGTAATAATAAAGATTCTTTTCTTGTGACAATACACAATAGTACTCTATCTACTAATAGTGATTCACCTTTTCATCTTTGTCAGAAAGTAATTGTGAATGATACCAATACTGGTACTACAGAGTGCAAAAATTGTAAAATTATTGAAGCTTAAAGCCATTCCATCAAATGATGTCATAGGCAAGGCATCAGCATATCTTGCTATGAATTCAGTAGGACATTGTTTTGCTTCATTGACATTACAAAAAAAAGAAAAGTACCAAAGGGTGAAAGTAACTGTATTAGAAATTACCAATATCATACTTAGAACTGACTTTCTGGTGTTACATTAATGTATTACCATTGACTATAGAGATAAAAGGCCAGCTCTTACATTCAGTGCCTTGACAAACCTAAAATACAACCAGCAATGTTATCTGGACATTTGATCAAAGACTGCAAACCAGTGGTTACGAAAATGCACAAATATGCACAAAAACCACCTTCTTAAGGCTGGGATAATAGAGCCAAGTAATTCACCATGGCAATTGCAGGTAATTGTTGTAAAGAACAAGTGATATCATATGGTGGTTGATTATTCAAAGACAACAAGTACACAGAAATGGATGCCTGCCCACTACCCAAAATAGATGAAATAGTTAATAAAATCGCACAATATAAAGTTTATAGTACTATTGATTTCTGTCATGCGTATTATCAAATTCCTTTGTCTAAAAAAGATTATCTTCATACAATTTAATTTAACAAAAGACTTTATCAATATACTCAAATGCCCTTTGGTGTACTGATTGGAGTACCTTGTTTCCAGATGAAGATGGTTGAATTTATTTATATACATAATCTGCTTAACTTTTGCATATCTTGATAATGTTACAATTTGTGATAACGATATAGAAGAGAACAACAAAAATTTAAATCTCTTCCTTGAAGCTGCTAAGGTTGATAACTTAACATTCATTAAAGACAAATGTGCCTTTTCAGTTTCATTAATAGACCTTTTGAACTACTGTGTTTCACATGAGTTGCAGAGTCCAGATCCTAAACATTTCTGCTCCCCTCTGAATTTGCCTGTTCCTATTGATAAAAGGTCTTTGCAGCAGATTGTAGGTATGTTTGTGTATTATGCCAAATGGATACTCAAATTTTATGATAAAATAAAAATGAATTTCCAGTTTAGGACTCTGAAATACAATCATTTGAAATGCTAAAAAATCATTTGGTCAAAGAACCAGTTGAAGCTGTTGATGAGAATATTCCTTTTACAGTGGAAACCAATGCTGCATACTTAGCAATTGCAGCAGCTTTAAGTCAAGCTTGAAGGCATGTTGCCTTTCATTTCTGTATATTCCAAGGAAGTGAACAGTGTTGCAGAACCCTGGAAGGCGGGGGTGGGGGCGATATAATATAGGATATGGCCTGTGTGCCTAAGTAAGATGAATCACTGGAGGCCCACAAACATTTAAAACAAATGACATAAATCTGACAGGTCAACAAGAGGACAACAAAAACAAGGATACTAAAATTAGAACAAAATTTATTTACAAAATTTTACAATTCAAATAAATAAAAATGCAGGATATTGTCAAAATGTTCTGAAGGACTTAAACCATAACCAAGATTGGCAACTCACAAAAAATAAATATAGATCCCATTCGGCACAAGGTTAAGACAATGGTTCACATAACTAATAATATCATGAAGTAGAATTCCTGAAAATGAATTTCACAAATAAAAAGGTTCATGCACAAATATGAACAATAACAAGACTCTTGTTCATGCACTTGTATCATGTATAGGATGGTGCATGAGAATTAAAGACCTTGCATAAATTGAACAATAATAAGAACACATGTATGGATCAGTAGAAATTCAAAATTAGAATATTGGCAAAAGGGTACATGTATAAAAGGGTAGTTGATAAAGTTCATATACAGTATAATACCAATTCAAAATACAATTTTGACCAAAGAGTACATGTATAAAAAATGGTAGTTGAAAAAGTTCATGTACATAAAAGTACAAAAGAATACATGTAGTAGTTGATAAAGTTCATGTATAAAAATAGTACAAAGGAGTATATGTATAAAGGGGGTTGACAAAGTTCATGTACAAAATAGTTCAAATTCCAAGTAGATTGTATAACTAACCAAATTAATATTGATTACACCAGAAGATGAACAATAGGAAGATGTAAAAAAAAAAAAAAGAAGGGATACTGACTGGATTTGTTGAGCTTGGAAAATATGCCTGATTTGACAAGAAAAATCAAAGTTATTTAAGTCAGTAATGTCCTCTAACAGAGGTTGACTGTAAATAAACAATGTTTGCAAAGAATAACAGTTGTCAAAGTTTCTGACAGATGATGTGAAGAACTAACATCACCTGCATCCTGAAAGGGCATGGCATATAAAAAGTGGAAAAAATTCTTTCTTGGTAGTCTACCATGTTAGAGATATCAAATGATTTCTATAGCATAAAAAGAAAGATAAGAAAATCCTATGTTTTAATACAGAAATACACTTAATGATTTAAAAAACACTAAAAGAATGACACACTATATAACTTCGAACAAGTTTGGTTCTAGAGATTACTGGTGTCTCTGCAAGTGTGTGCTGAACAAAAGCAAATCTTCAGTCCCTCTTCTCTTCAATCAATTTGATTCTACTGCAGATAAAGTCCAACATCACTCATGACTCAGCTGGTTTCTACTATAATTTTATTATAATAACTTTGTCCCTGGTTTCTGCTATAATTTTTAGACTAGATCCCCATAAGGCTTGTGGATTCAACAGTATCCCTGCACCTGTCCTAAAGAAATGTGCTCCTGAACTGGCTCCTGTTCTCTCCAAACTTTACAATAAATGCCTCATTGCTTCTTGTTTTTCAGCTTGTTGGAAGTCCTCTATAGTTCCTGCATTTTAGAATTCTGGGGACCTTCAGACCCCTCAAATTATTGCCCTATTAGTTTCTTACCTCTTTTTGGCAAAGTACTAAAAGTTCCAATCAATGCTCTTAATTGATTAAGCATTTTACTTAACATGGCCTCTTTCTGGATAAACAATATGGCTTCTCTTTCATTGGGTCTATTGCTGATATATTAACTATCATTAGTTAATATATTATTTTCATTGCTATTACTGATATATTAACTATCATTGAATTTGCCTATCAAGCTTTAGATAAGAACAGTGAAGCTCAGGTTGTGGCTCTAGATATCACAAAACCATTCAACTGGGTTTGGCCTGCATTCCTTAAGGCATTATTATCTCTGTCCTTATGTATTCAATGATGCTTTTGTGATTAAATGCTTAAGTGATGTCAACTACATATACAAAGAGATAATACAAGATTTTCTTTTACTTACGTAGTGGTCTCATAATATTTTAAGTCTTCTTTTCCATTATCCCTTCTGGGAACTTCAACATGGGAAATATAACAGGTTAAGTGGTAGGAATGACAGTGAGATGAAAAAAATGTGGCAAAAACATGTGAACAGGAAATGGGCAAAGCTTTTTTCTGTACAAAAAGAATAAAAAAAAAAAAGAAAAGGGAAATAATTCCTCAAGGACACATAGCTCAGTGGATAAAAGCATTGGTTGGACCCAAAGAATTGTGAGTTCAATACCTGTTTCTTCAGTGGTAAACAGAAATTTGGAGGGTTGAGTTAAAGGGAGATAACTTAGACATCCGGAAGAGGCATGGCACATGGAACTAGAACAATCTATCCCAGTGGATAAAATTCTATCCTGGGTTCATTTTCAAATTCCAATCACCTGAAGAAGGCAGGAGCATACAACAGCTGAAACATCGTAAATATAACAATAAAGATGAGGACAACAGTTTGAACAGTGTAAATAATGTAAATAATTACAATACCTCATCTCAGAAATATAGACAGATATAGAAATAATTTTAATAATTGCCAGATTTCTACCCATCAAAAAAAGAGTTCCCTAACATTGTGCATTTATATGCTTAGCTGTATTTTATGAAACAAATTGGATGAAATTATATGTACTTGTAGATACTTAAAAATGAACATAATTAACATCTGTTAATCATACTTATAAAACCCAGATTGTGTGTGTGTGTCTGTACGTTTATATATTGGATCGGATTTCCTACATTTTTCAACTGATTTCAACAAAACTTCACAGGACTACGTAAAATTACCTTGCGGTGGTTCTGACAGCGCCAAAAATTGGAAAAACACAATTGTTTTTGCATGAAATCAATTTGAAAACATGATTAAGAGGCATCGCGAGAATGAAAGGGGGAAAACTCATATCGAGTTATACTTATTATAAAACCCAGATTGTTTGTGTATGTGTGTGTGTGTGTGTGTGTGTGTTCCTTTATATATGGGATCAGATTTCCTACATTTTTCAACTGATTTCAACAAAACTTCACTTTTTTTTTGGCAGGTAAGTTTTCTTATTGACTTGCACACTTTTTTCTTTATTTTTACATTCAGAATGCTTTAAAAATTACATTTACAAGACAATTGTTTATAATAAAATTCTATTCAATCGGTAGACTCATAACGATTGAAAACAATGTTTTTGTTTGAGTTTGGGTTTGACCAATTTGTAAAAAAAAAAAAAAAAAAACTAATTAAGACATGCGTGTCCGTCAACCTTAAACAATAATCTTTGTCAATTTTATTTTTCAGTCTTTATGATGGTCAATACTTGATCTATCTCTTACTGTTACATCCCTGGGCAACACCGGGCTCTACTGCTAGTATATATATATATATATATATATATTCATATGTAGGATATACATAAATAAGAAAATTTGATTCTAATTGATTTGATTAATCTTTTTTGTTAATTTCATTTTTCAGGTTAAAACTGCCTTGCTCCGTGATATTGCAACATTGGAAGTAAAAAATTATAAATCTCAGGATGCAAAATCTCCACTCTTTATACTTCACAGGTATTTAGTATCATATCTAGAATTAGTGATGAATAAACAACATTGTATTCTACATTAGGTATAAAACTATTTAATAAATTTTTCAACTTTATCTTTTAATGCCTATTTGAACTTTCTTCACTCTTAAAGTTTCATTTAGTTATGCCTGATTATTAAATAATCATTGTATAAATATGAATAAATTTTAATTTTTTAAAAGTGCTGTCTTTATATTACAGAAAAGAAGGTGATGGAGATTTTATGAACAGCATTGTTCGTGAAATGGAGAAAGAGGTAAAAAAAATTATTGTGTATATACATTGTGAAAAATTAATTCAGGGGGCATTTTTAATAGAATCTGCCTGATTTTACATAGTACTACAATATTTTTCTTTAAAGAAAATATCCTGGATTATTATTATATCACTTCAAATCAGATATAAAATAAAAATTAATAAATTCATATATTTTCAATTCATGACCTCAGAAACAGTAGGTCAAATGGTAACATTTTAAATAAATGCATGTAAAAAAAAATGCTTCATTTTTTTAAATTATGCAGCATAAGAAATTACATTACACACACACACACACATGTATGAATAAAAACAAAAGGAAAACTTATCTTAACCAATGTGTTTTGTCCTCTGGTGGACTTTATCAAGGCAAAATATGAGGATTTTATTTTGCAACAAGTATTTATAAAAAAAGATCAATTTATCAAATGCATTAGTCATACATAGAAAAAAATCAACCACAACTTCAATCTAAAGAATGTCACACTTATTAAAAGAGAAAATAACTTACTTAGATGGAAAATTCTTGAGAGTGTCACTATCAAATCATACAAAAATATAAATCTGGTCCGCAGATATTTTCAAATATCTTTGTTCTTGAAAGAATTACTTCTTCTCTAAGCCAACATACATGACTATAAAACTGTTAAAAATTAAAAGGAAATGGTTAAATTCATAACCTTCTATTATTTAAAATATATAATGCATAAATTAATCCCAAACTAAAAGAATATAAATAATAATTACATTCAAATACATTAAATAACATTTACTCATTTTTTATATTTTTATTAGACATTAAAATACATTACTTATCCTCCTCCATAATTTACCTCACTTAGCCTGATGTATATGTATGAGCGTTCTTAAATTTTGTAAAACTAACATTTTTACTTTTGTTTATAAATACCTGTTGCAAAATAAAATCCTTACATTTGCCTTGATAACCTGTTCTCTTTTGAGCTGAATAACTCATTGATTCTTACAAGAAATGGTATCAAGATGACACTATCTTATCTGAAAACCTGGAAAAAATAAATTCAATTAGTTTAGTATATATATATATATATATATATATATATATAAAATATATATTTTAAAAAGTTGCAAATTAAAAAAATAATAATGTTTTTTATGAAAGTATTTATTTATATTTGATATTTCAGATCAACCTCGGTCTTTCTTCAGAAATAACTGTTTTTAGAGGTTTCTTTACAAGTAGCATCCGTTGCGAGATGCAGACATCACGTGATATGGAATGCCACTGTGTTTGAATATTTTTAACGTAAATCTAACTGTAATAATATTTTAGATGTTGTTTAAAAAAAATTTTTAACTATATCTAAAAAAAATGTTTAACTATTGAAATATTTATAAAGATTTAAAAATACCCAAGTCTTTATTTAACCCTAGTTTATACGTATTTAATTTTAAAATCCAGTTTCTGAAGAAAGATCAAGGTCGATCTGAAATATCAAATATAAATAAATACTTTCATAAAAAACATTATTATTTTTTTAATTTGCAACATTTTAGTTGTTTTTCTATATATACATATTAAGAAAGTATACGTGGCTTCTCATTATGCTATATATATATATATATATAGCTATTCCCTACAACATTGTCAAAAATTTTCCTTAAGTAATGTTTAAAAAAAATAAAAACTGATAAATGAAATATACATATTTACATTTGATATTTAAATAATAATTTTTAAATAATTTAAGTAATTCTATTACATTTATTTGTTTTAAAAGATGTATAGTCTATTATTAAAATTAAGAATATTATTTTAAAATTGTGGTTCAATACGATGTATTCATATACAAACAACCCTTTTAGAAAAAATCCTTATGTATACAAGTACAAATTTAAGGGTGAAACAGAAGTGCCGAAAAACTTGAAAAAGACCAGATGTCATGCATTGAACGGATGTCATCATTCATTTGAAAAAGCACCCCTACTCTATGTTGACTTAACCTCTTTGCGAAAGTAACGAAGTTGTTGATACAATAGTCGTCAGTGAAAAAGAATACCCTATCACTCCTTGTTAAAATGATTGATTTTCCCTATATCCATAGAAACTCATATCATGAATGTATATGCTTATAAAACTCAGTAAATTTCAAAATAAGTTATTCCAAAATTCGTTTGAAAATGTAACTTTAATTTAATTTAATTATATATTTGAATTTGAAGTTTTTAGTGTCTGTTTTTGAAACATGGTAATTCCTGTGTAGCAATGGAACCATATTTTTAAATATTTATAATATATATACATATATATATATATGTATATATATATATATATATATATATATATATATTATATATTTTTATGTATATATATATATATATATATATATATATATACACATATATGTATATATACACATATATATATATATATATATATACACATATGTATGTATATATATACATATATGTATGTATATATATCTATACACACATATGTATATATATATACACATATATGTATATAAATGTATGTGTACATATATAAATACATATATAAATATATAAGCATATATATATATATATAAATATATACATACATAAATCTATATCTAGAAATATACATACACACACACACACACATATATATATATATATATATATATATATATATATATATTTAAAAATTAATGGATTCATTTTTAATACAACATTTTTATTATTTCAAAATTTATTTTTAGTGAATACCCATTTTTAAACAATGTGTATTACTTGTAACAATCACGCACTAAAGAAACTTTAAAGACAATATGCTCTCCAGCAGGTTTTAAGTCTGCTTCATCTTTTTAAAAAAGAAATCACCATCTGATCTGGTGTGATTTATACTTCTTGACCACAGCAAGGTTCTACTGGAGTGCAGATTTTCCAAAAACTGAAAGATACAAAATTGAGCAAATATGACCTTTTGAGAAAATCTGAATGAGGGATGTACATTTCTTAAAGGGTAAATAGACCCTTGCTGGACTGTGACACTCAATGTGGCTAAGCAGTCTAAAGTCTTTTAATCTTTATGAAATCTGTGAATTACTCCAACACTAATGAAAATATATGCAAACTTTGTTTTTTTAACCTAACCATAGTTTCTATTTCTATGAACCCAATTTGTTATTGTATCATTATTCAAGTAAATATAATTGGTAAAGATAATTCATGCTATTTAATAAGGAGTGGCAAGAATCCAATGATTGAATACATAACCTTTCAGCAATAATACTTGGCAGTTCACCAGCTATTTTTAAAAATTCTTTCTGCCATGGTTGATAACACTTATTCTGAAAAAAGATACGGGTTTTCTCTGTATGAGATGTATTAATGAATTAATGTCACTGAAATATATTTAATCAATTCATCTACATCTTAAATAATCTTGAAACACTCAACTGAAATACTCTCACTTTGAGTAGGTCGTGAAAAAGCCAAATCCGGCATAAAATCTGTACATATTGGGTGAATCCTTAGAAACTTAAATGTTTAATTAATAACTTTAACTGTTGGAATAACATTTGTTTTGTTTTCATTCTTTTTTAGCATGTAACAATATTTATAACTTGTGGAGATGACAATGAAACTGGATTGTTTCTCTTGACTGGCAAAGAGGATGTCATTTCTAACCTTGGACCTAGGTATGTATATTTTAGAAATTGTTGCTTAAGCAAACAATAGACGTTATACAGATTAACTAAACTGAATGATGCTATTTTATAGAAGTTAAAACACACACACACTCAAGGGTTAGAATATAACATTTAGTTTCCAAATTCTGTACTAATATCAAATTTAAAATTTAACAAAAATTTAAAAAAAAGACTATAAGCAAACAACTCTGTATTATCAAAAAAGAAAATTATATACAAAAAATATATGACATTTAATGACTTATACTAATACCTTGTATATTTATACATCCTTATATATGCTATCTAAGATTAAAAAGAAAGTATAAAGGAGTGTTGAAAATTTCTTGATTTCTGACTAAATGACTAAATGTTAGGTTTTTTTTTAATCTTAGGCTTTTCAATATCCCCTTCTATTGAAATACTATACTGCATCACTTTGCATAGGGAGCTTAAGTGGAAAAAATAGATGGTTTTATTAATTGATTTTTATTTGGTCAATTTTACTTTGCAGACTTTATTTTTTATAAAAAGATCTAATCTGTGATATATATAAAAACCACAACACAACTTAGACACTATTAGACACTATAAAATCTTTTTCTCTTTTTACTAAAAATGGGTTTGTACTCTGTGTCTAGTTATACCTTAAAGTGATAGGTGATGTGAAAATGTGTCTCTCTAAAATAACTAATTAGTTTTTTAATGAATACCTGAATTTTTTTTTTCAAATTCCAGTATAATGGAGTTGTTAGACTAGATACAAGTACTAATAGATTGCATGGAGATATTTTTTCAGTTAATGTTTTTTTAAAGAGGTCTCTGATATGCAATCAAATATAGTTTAATCATTCCTGAAAAATCTAAAGGCCAAAATAATAAGGTCCAATTCTGGCATATTTTGAAACTTTTTTATTTATGAGAAAAAATCAATGATTTCTATAGATTAAGTTTAAATAACAAACACAAATTAAACTTCTACATGCTAGTTTATTTCTTTATTATTTTTAAATCTTATTAAAACACACACACACTTCATTTTTATCTCCTTAATTGCATAAATATCACCTTAATTTTTGTTTGATTTTGAAAATTTAAACATATTCTATATCAATTATAAGAAAATTTCAATGATATTTTGATTTATATTCTAACAAAATTTAGAAATTGGTCATTTATCAACTAATGTCTTTCAAATGTGTAAAAAATACATTATGTCAGATTTTATTATGCAAGTAAATATTTTCACAATAAAACAGGTAATAACCAACCATGGTTAAGAAAAGTTTCAGGATATTTTTATATATATATGATAAATATACAATATGAATTTCAGCTTATAATATCTGTTTTCAGTAAAAATACATACAATAACTTATTTAGTTTTGAGAGATTTTTATGTTTATAAACTGAAATTCATAAATGAAAGCAAACAAAATACCACCTTTAAGCAAACATCACAAAGAGAAATATATAAAATGGGCAAAGAGGTGTGTGAAAACTGATTTTCCAACACTAATTTTTAGTAATAAGTGTGGAAATTGTGTAATGAAAGTTGTGTTGAATGGCCACACTTCTAGATCATTTCACATTAATGCCAGGTGTCCCAGGGCTCTATCCTTGGACCTATGTTGTTTTATTGTCCTCAAGTCCCTCCTGGTCATCCAAATCCAATAACCATGGCTGATTAATAAGGTGATTGCTTCGATCCAAGCCTTGCCTTATCCCACATTGTGATTAGTTTTGATCATAAGGTCGGCCAGGATCAAATCGTCGTCAGGTATCTTCTCATTGGGCTGGTCTAAGCCAAATGAAGACACAAGAAAAGTAAACACTTGAATAAAAAAAATAATAATATGTTTATATATGTTCCTGTGTACAATATTTGTTTAGTTCGTTGTCAAAATCTAACAGTTCACATGTGGACATTTATCGAAACAACCCACTTCTTAAGTTAGATGTCACATTTTGCTGGCTTGACAAACTTTGGCATAAGGTTGATGTCGGATGTTCTCTTCAGGCAAGCAGTCACATGAGGTGTTTCTTGTCCGGTGTCTGGAACAATCTCTGATTGTCGCTTTGAGTCCTTCGTATTTATTGAGATTCTGGTGTTGGGCATGATGTGGTTGGGGAATTCAGTATTTTCTTTACTTTTCACAAAGAACCACTTTCTGCTGTCTGAATTCTGAAAATTAATTACTTCCCAATTTGGGAGATCTCCTTTTCCCATGGGTGGCAGTCACAGGTATTGATCAGCCCCCATAACTTCTTCCTTCACTTATTAGCATCTCTCACTAATACCTCCCAATGGGTGTGGGTAGCTCCTCCACCTCCCTCAGTGTCTCATCTGCACCCGCCACCATGGCTACTCTCAACCAATGGCTCTTGACTGCTATACATGGCTTAACTTTAAGGTTGTTAATTCAAAGAATTATTATTTCAAACCTCTCACCAATGCAAAAAAAATTCCATATCAAGTTTGTTTTTGTTCAGAATTATGCACAAACTATATGTCTCCTTTCACAAGGAATTTCATTAGCAAATTTTTATTATAGATCAATTCTTATCTGTTTCCATCCACTTCTGTTTTTTTCTGCGACCAGTACTTTTAGGAACAATCAGAATATCACCACATGGCCCTTTCGTAAAAGTATTGTTCTCTTCAAGCAAGCAGTCACATTTTTTTTGGTTTCTTGTGAATTAGTCTTTTTGAAGAAAGAGAATTCTTCATTCTTTCTCATGGTATATTTATTGTCCTATCCATTAACCCTTTTCTTTAATTACCAGTGTTCTTTTGGTATATCTGTTGTTCTATTCATCAGCCTTCTTATTATTTACCAGTGCTTAATAGTATCACAGTTTCCTATTGTCATCAATGACCTTCGCAATGTCAACTAGGTATTTATGCTGATGATACATCTATTTACTCCTGTCTTAATAGTAAGCCTAATAGGTTCAACAAACTAAGACTGGCAGCTGCTTTTGAAAATGACCTCCAATCATTTGTTAAATGAGGCAAGAAACGGCTTGTAAATTTTAACAACCCCAAAATGAAATTGCTATTTTTTAATCAACATATAGAACCATTTTTGTCTTCTATCAGTATGTCCAATGCTAACTTCCAGTACAGCAGCTGGTGTGCAACCAGCTGCTGTACTGGAAGTTAGCATTGAGACCAAGAAGGTGCACTTCTTGGTCTCAGGTTTTTCACTGACATGAAGTGAAATGATTATACTGAATCACTTGCTAGATATGCTACTATGAAACTTGGTTCACTGTGTTATGCCAGAAAATGTTTCTTGCCAGAATCCATCATGCATATTTATAAATCTATCATTCATTTGCACATTGAATATTGCTGTCATATCTGGTCTGGTGCTCTGGCTATATATCAAGATTCTCAACAAAATCAAAAAAATGATCTGTAATTCTATCAGTCTTTACCTGTCATTTCAACTTCAGTCATTTTCCCACCACCGTGATGTGGCTTCCCTCTGTCTTTTCTATAAATATTTTCATGGCAATTGTTTTGATGAGCTTTTCTCCTTAGTACCCCAACTGTATGAATTTAAGAATACAAATACACGTTGACAAATAGGTCTGATCATTTTATTGTTGAAATAGCTAGATGTAACCATAAGTTCTATTCTAATTTCTTTTCTCACAATTCTTGCCTCTGGAACTCTTTTCCAATTTCTTGCTTCCCTGCTATTTATGTACTTAAAAAAATTTAAAATTCAAAATCAATTGCTATATTCTGTCTTCCTGAATCCTATTCTTCTATTGTCCTTTCTCTTGACTAAAGTCTTTGTGTTATGTTACACCCCCAGTAACTCTTTGTGCCTTAGTTGTATTATTGCTTACTTGGGATAAAATGAGTAAAAGCTATATTAGATTGACCTGATGACTGGGTTAAAAGATTGGCCCTTTATGGGGTTAGTAGACAGTAAAATTATGGATCACTTCAAAGTTGTTGATGCTTAAAGAAAAAATGCAGAAAATTCTTGAACAAGATATTTTTTGACTGGTACAAATCACAAATAAGAAACTTTAATATCTGTCTGTATTTCTGAGAATTCTGTATTGTAATTATTTACATTGTTCAGACTGTTGTCCTTGTCTTTATTGCCAGTCCAAACAATGTAAATAAGAAACTTTAATTTAAAGAGTATATTCATGCAAGGCACATTCACATTCTTTAATGCTGACTTTTACTCTTGCTCACCTTACCGAAAAAGTTTCAAAGATACCAAATTAACAGAATGGTTCTGAGGCTCTTCAGATACTAATCCAAGAGAAAAAAACTTGTCCAACATTAAAAGTGATTTATATGAGAATGAAAAGCAAAATAGCTTTAAAAAAGGGAAAAAATTATGTGCTTAGCAGTAGTAGTGTGTTTCTGTAACGCACCATGTGAAATTAAGAAGTTTGTCAAAGACAATCTCCCTGAAGAGGAAGAGTCCTGTAACTACATCCCAGAGCAAAAGAAGAGAGAGTTTATGCCCTTTCATTTTATAGTCCTGAATAGAACCACACTTAGTGAGCATCATGGTTGGGTCAGAGTTTCTTTTCTCACACTTGTTGCTTCTAAAACTCTTTTCTGATTTCTTGCTTCCTTGCCACAGTGTATACTGATAGTTAAATATTTAATCATTTTCAAGAAAAACTCAGAGCAACACAAAACTCAGTTTATATTTATATATATATATATATATACACACACACTAGGAATTATCAAAATTTAAAATTGTTTTCATCAGTATCTAGAGGGAAAATAAGAACATTGTTTTCTATTAGTAGATTTGTTTGGAATCTGGTATGGAATGTTTAAATGATCACAACTTATTTCCTCACATCTGTTTTTGTACATATACAGAGGAAGAGATAGAATAGGTTGGGGCTCTCATTTCCTTTTTGTCATACTCTTGATCAGGTCTGACATGATTTGGTGTTTTGTTCCTCATCATCAACTTTAAGGATTAATATAGTTCTATCAAATCAAATCATGAAGTTAGAACTTTGAAGACAGTTTTTCAAGGATAAAAAAGGAAGTCTCTATTGATAAAAAGGAAGTCTCTACCATTCATCTGCTGCTGTGAGTTCAACATAGCAACTATAGAAGTTTCTGTTCAATAAGTATATGATTTCACAGAGTTGATGACAATTGTATCATTTGACACCCCTTGTCAGAACAAAAGCCAAATTGAGTCATTAGAAATTGGTTTTCATAGAATGGTAAGAGTCTAGTTAGTAAAATATTCATTACTATTTTTATTCTAATGTATCCTATTGAGGATTTGTACAAGTGACAATCTTCAGGATTACATTTTTATTTCCTAAGTGCATTTGTGCATGACAGACTTCACTGATTTGAGGTTGCTTTTGATTCCAGACTTCCCTCATAAAATTGAGAAACTTATTTTTGAATTCAGGGAGAGAGTATACTACTTTCAAAACTTACCCTCAATGTCATATGAAATGAAGATTTATTATTTTTTAGTATTTTATGGCTTTCTTGACTTTCTCATCATGAGGTGCATTGTTTCAGTTTGGACACAGGCTTTGTAATGTTCAGATATATACTAGTGCATATTCTATTTACTTTGGCATCTTCAGATTAGTGTGATCAGTATTGAAATGTGACTTTAATTTATGCTGTTTTGTTGCTTTGAATGGGTTTAAATTTCCAACAGATTTCTCTTTCTATTAACTAGGGTTTGCATTTTCTTTGTTACTGTTTAATGTTCCCTCTTCCATTTTTATCTTCTGTTGGTCTCTTTCTATCAGTTTTTTTTTCAATTTGGTTTTCATCCTACATAAAGATCTTTTTCTATTTTGTTTGGAATGGTCTCAAACACTGAAGATGTAATTACACTATGTAATTCGTCAATGTTATTTAGATTCAAATTTAGGGATGTCAGTGTGGATTATAGTTTATCACAAAATGCTACCTTTACATTTTTCATTTTTAAGAGTTTAGACATATTTAAGGATCATTTGTGGTTTATGTCAATGGGAGCAAGCTATTTTATTAGCTGGTGATACCAGAAGTCTGTGATCAGATTCAAAGTATGAATTATATACTGAAAAATCTTGTTTTAAAGACACTGCTTTAATCAATTAATGTGCAACACTTACACACAAATGCAGCTTGTGCAAAACTGAGCTAAATAGCAATTATTTCTGCAGTTATACAGTATAACATTTACCTTTAGTAAAAAAAAAAACAAAAACTTTAAAATCTAAAAAATTAAAGTTTTGTGATTGTGTGATAAAAATGAACTAAACAATTCATATTAGTTTTTAAAATTCTGTAATTTTTTTCTATCAAGATTTTTTTTATTAATTTTAATATTTGAAAAAAAATGTAAGACATCTGAAAACAATACAGAAATATACAGAAAACAATATTCCCTAACTTTTAATAGTTTTCAATGGTCTGTTAATGGTAAGGAAATTAGCTTTTAGTACTTCTATTTATTCACGAATTAAAAACTACATTTTATTTATTGAAATTTACCCATGACTCATCACATATTTCACCCAAATTTTGAAAAAAATTTCAAAGACAACAAAAATATTTTACTTTACTTTCAAAAATTAATTATTCAAAAACTAAACATTGAACTTTTATTTTTATAGAGTAGCCAAGATACTTGATGGAAAAGGTGCAGGGAAAAAAGGGAGATTCCAAGGTAAAGCTAATAAAATATCTCATCGTGTGAAGGCAGCTCAATTTCTTCAAGAGCAAATTTTGAAATAAATTTTCTATTTTTGTCATTGTATTACTTGACTATTAAAATTCTAATCCAATAAAATTCCACTTTTTCTGAACATCAATCATGATTTTTACTTCACTTGCCTTAAATATTTTCAGATTCTTTTATGGTGATCAGGATTAAAAAAGGAATTGTTTATATGACTGTACATGCATTTTAAAAATTGAGACATTTAAGATTTTGTCTACATAAAACTTTTGAAAGTTTGAAAAAAACGTTCTTAGATTTTTTATAAGTTTTATGAAGTTACCTTTCTCCAAACTATTTCAAATTTTCAATTATGAAACAAAACAAAAATATTGCTCTAACTAGAAAAAAATACATGATCTAGATTTAAAAAAATAATCAAATATGATGTTAATGACTCCAATAAAATATGTTCTAATGGATACATTTTATAATAAACTGGTTTTAACAATTTTAAGCTCTTTCATTGAATAAAAGATCCCATTAAAAATTCCTGTAATATTCTATGAGATAATTCCAAATAACACTTCTAATGTTACAGCAAATCATGAACGAAAATGATGACTGACTAAAGTTGGCAAGGTAACTTCTCAGATAGGAATTAAATGTTACAGTTTAAGCATTCATTTGACATTGGCAAGTCAGAAATTTGAGAAAGAAAAATTCACATTATATCATTATATATTTTGATTATTAAAGCTAGAACAATGCTACTGTTATGGCTTTTAATAACAAAACAACAGAAATATTCATATTTTCCAGACAGGATTTTCACTTCATTGTCTATTCTTGCATTTATAAAAATGAAAAATATGAAGAAATCAGAAGTGTTTTTTTTTTTTCATATTTTGATATTGATAAAGTATTATGAAAGTGCTAAATAAAGAAACAGCAATACATAGCATATAAGCATCAACCAGGAAAGAAGTTGAATCAGATTAACTTCATCAAAACTGGAGTAAAGATACAGAAACAGAGGAGAGAGAGAGAGAACAAGCCTGTTATCTTCCACAGCAGATGATTGGCAGTTGATAATGGACTTAGAGACCCAACTGAAGTTCCCCAGACACAGCTGTAACATCACTCAGACCAGGTCTGATATTGCACTCCAACAACACAAAGCAATGCATTATTTGGGAACTGTCTGTGTCATGGAAAGAATTTATTACACTGGCAAATGAGAAAAAGAAGTCCAAATACCAAGAATTTGTCAAACAATGTCAGCAGAAGTCATGGAAAATATACTATAACCCAGTTGGTTGCAGGAGGTGTGCAGGGCAGTCATTGTGCAGAGCCCTAGCAAAAATAGGCATAGCGGGGACAGCAAGGATGAGAGTGCCAATTTAGTAAATCAGTGCAGTTGAACTATTATGGATAAGGGGTTGAGAATTGTTGGCATATGTGGCGGGTGGGGGTCCATGGATGGGAATTTATTTTTTGCTTTTCGATTCTTGATTGTCATTTGTTTCCGCTTATTTGCAATTTTATGTCCATATCCATGCCTCAATGCATATTTCTTATGAATATAAAGTAGTATCGTAGTAATCATAGTTTTGAAAATGTCGAGTGTTGATACTAGTATTAATTGGTTAGATTTATTTAGAGTAATATTTAACAGATAGTAAATATATGTATAGGTTACTTAATTGAGTAGATAGCTTATTTTTTATTTATTTATTTTTATTTTTGTTTACAGATTAAGCCATTAAATGATTTTAGCCATAAAATTCACAAAACTGGGAAGGAACTTCAAATAAATAGTAAAAGCAATGATTGGTTTAAAAAATTAATGTAAATGGGGGATAGAATTTATGTATGTGTGTCTTTGCATGTGCATGTGAGTACATTTACTACATTTAGATTATATATGTGTGGACACACATACATGTATAGGATTTTTTGTGGAACTTCATTTGACTAGTAGTAAAAGGTAAATGTAGACTTAAAGATTTATTTAAGAATAGTGAATAATTTTTTTTTTAGAAAGTGCTAGTATATGATAGATTTGTGTTGGGTATATGTGCAGGTTTAGTTAAAGACTTAGTATTGTTATGGGATTAGTATTTAAAATGTATAAAACATTGTTATGGGATTAGTATTTAAAATTTATAAAACATTTGGATTAAACTATGCAAGAAAGAGACCAGCTTACTCAGTTAGGAATCTGGGGGAAGTAGCTTGAATCTAAACTGGATGCAATGTCAAGGTGCATAACATGATGCTTTCAAGGAGACAGCCTGACTCATCTGGAGCCAGGTCGTGGCCGCTGTTTAAGCTGATATGATGCAAAACCTGAAATCAATGATGAGGGCAGTGCATCACTGAAGACCACCCTTGATGCATCTAAAATGTATTATGCAACTAGCTATCAATTTGCCACACATAGATTTATTTACATCTACTTACAAGACTTGCTGTCAGTTTTGGATGAATTCAGTCAGTAGAATTAAAAAAAAAGGATTGTGTGGAAAAATTGTTTGAGAAAGCTCTTTGTTATAGATGATTATTTTTTTTACTTATAACTGAATAATGCAAAAACAAATTTACTGGACCTATTTTTTTGTATAACTATTATTATTACTGCTGCTTTTTAACAAAATGCACTGGATTTTTGAATAGAAATAAATATCTTAAAAACTCACTCTTAAGAATTTTTGTTACCTATCCTTTTTCTATCATAAGCTTAGCCTCACCTGGTACAAAGCTTCAATAGAAGCAAACTATTGAGAACTGATTTCATTAGCTTGCTAACCATCACTGTATTTAATTGAAAATTGAAGGAATAAAAGCCAAAGTAATTTTGATCACTGCAAAATTATTTATCAAAGATAGGAATTAGTTGAGGAAAACCAGGCAGCATCAGAGATCACAACATCACAAACCTTCACTTTGCAGATGACCTAGGTGTCTAACTGGCAAAAAAGGAACTTGTCTGTCTGGTGAAGAACCTGGATGAAACGTTCCTCAGATAGGGCAGGGAAAATAATGCCAAAAAAATCCAAGCTCATGATGAATACTGAGAAGGGGTAAATGTTCTGATGAGCTTTTCTTACAAATTTAAACACAGTACTAGATTAGCAGTTAAGTCTCATCATTTTACTGTTGAAATAGTGAGATGTAATTATGTAATTATATGTTCTATGTTTATAGTTGCACTTTTCACATGTGGAACTCTTGCTTTCCAGTCAACTTTGATCTTCAAAAATTTAAATGCAGTGTCAATCATTATCTTCTGTCTTCTTAATTCCAGTTTGTTTATTGTTCTCTTTCCTTAATAATGTTTTCTTTTTCTCATATTCTTTCACACTCAGTGACTCATTTGCATCTTAGTGGCTTTATTGACTTGCTTGATCTTTTATATAATGAAATGAAATGTCTGTTTGTCCACTGTGGAAACTACTGGATAAATTTTAACCAAATCGGCTATAACCCAGGGAGTTTCTTAGACTAAAGTTCGCATAGGTCATCTCTGTGCATTAAGAAAAATGAAAAATAATGTCAAGAAGCCATAAATAATTTTTTAAAATGTCAAAATGTGAAAAAAAATTTCATGAATAAGAAATTATTTTAAAAAGAATTTATACTCAGGAATACTGAAAGCATATTTTACAACAATTTCATAGAGATACAATTTTATTATGTATTTTTCAATTTTCTAATTTTTTTACAATATTTTTAAAGTATTAAAACTGTATAAAATGAAAGCATATACCTTGAGTTAAATTGCATTGTTTAATATTTAACAAATGTACAAAATTTTATAATGGTAAAGAAATATGCTTTGAAAAATATCTATCTTGTTGTTTAATAAAAAACATTTTAAAATTATTAATACATATCCATTTAATTACATATTACAATTTCATTTTGGTTCTTTAATAAAAGACAAAAATTTTAAATTATTAATAAATATTTATTTGTCTATGTTTCTGAGATGAGGTATTTTGTACACTATTTACATTGTTCAGACTATCATCTTCATCTTTGTTGCCATATTTATCATAACGTTTTGGCTGGTATATGCTCTAGCATTCTTCAGGTAGTTGGAATGTCAAACTGAACTCTTTATTTTGCTCACTGGGGTAGACGGTTCTAGTTCCACATGCCATGTCTAATAGATGTCAGTTATCAGTTATCTCCTATTAATTCCCCTCACCAAATTCTGCACTGCCTTAACCAGGTATTGAACTCACACTCTTTGAGTCTTGTCATTGAATCTAACTAATGCCTTTATCTACTGTGCCATGTGTCCTTGAAGACACCTGTGCATGAATTTCTGGGTATTATGAATCTGATGTCTTCAGCAACCATTTTTACCAGTGTTTGCAATTTTTGCTGTTTTCATTGCATATTTTTTACCAGAGCTCATATTGCAATTTTCGTTGTTATTATTGCTTTTCTCTGGCACTCTTTATTATTACTGGTTCCCATATTGTATTCATTTCTATGCTTTGTCAGCTCGGGAGGTTTTTGTGGCTTAGCATATGTGCTGATTCCTTAAATTTACAAATTTTCCAATGATATTCTTTGTCTATGATTTCAACCTGATCTCACTGTTGATGGTGATTTCCCTTTTCTCTCCAGATGTGGTCAGCCATGCCTGATTTTTCCACTAATGTAATATTAATAATTAATATAATTATTTATCATTATCTTAGTTATTAAATAATGAAAGAGATAGAGGTAACTCAATAATGTAAGAAATTTTTATAGTATTTTAAATTATTATAAGAAACCAAAAAAACTTTTATGTCACTTTTGATGCACCGTGCTAAACCTGTCAACACATTCAGCCATCAAATTATCAATGGAGACGTGAAAATAACAAGACCCCGAGGTTAAGAAATGTTTGTCTAGAAAATTTTGTGCTATAAGTAAGTGATATTTGCTTCAGAACAGATTAATTTAACTTTAAATTTGCTAATTTTATGAAAGTAACGTTTCAGAAATGTATATTTTATTTTAGCAGGATTTTCAAATCGAAAAAATAAATTTGTCTAAATTTCTATAAAAATAGTTAAAAATGACTGTTTCGATTTTTCCTTTGAAAGAATCAACTAAAAATCATTCAAATTTCTATTTGAAATACTCCACAGTATTTTTTTTTCTGGAATTAGAAAATTTAATCCTTTAGCTTTCAATTGAAGCAGTTGGAAAACTTTGAAAAGGGTTTTTCCTTTATGAAAATTACATTTAAACCATAGTTGTATATCTAAGGTTTAAATGTATTTTTCAGGTATACAAATTAAGTATACAAATTTTTGGAGGTACCTACTGTAGAGAAATCTGGACTCCCCACTTTCATGCCTTTGCAATGGCACCAGATAGATTAGCAAGGCAATGATGCAAAACATTGTTGAAGCTGCAATAATTATTGCACTCAACAAAGGTGAAGATGTCTTTATTTCAGTTCCCACTATACCATCAGAACTATTCCAATTTAACCAACTTCAGTTTCTGTTATGTCCAAAATTTGCAATGACAACTTGTCACAGGAACAATCACTCAAGGTTGTCAGGCCTGACCCCCAGAATCCTTGTTTTTTTACATAGCTGGTTAAAAAGCCAGTTTGGAAACACCAAAAATCTTTATCTATACACCATGAACACAGAAAACCATGTTTATAAAGAAGCTCTGCAAGATTAATATAATTTTAAAAATTTGTATTCTTCAGGTGATATTTGTTGGAATTTCAAACCGAACCCTATATTTAGTCCATGGAGATAGATTGTTCTAATTCTATGTGCCATGCCTTTGGATATCTCAATTTCAGTTAATTCTCTTGATAACTCTTCAAGTTTTGGTTCCCTCTGCTGTGGCCAATTATTGAACTTACAAATTACTTTAGGATCAATCAACCAATGCTTTTATCCACTGGACTATGTGTCCTTGAGAACAACAGTGAGTGAATTTTGGGGACTTATAAACCTAATGTCTCAGTAAGCAATTTTTACCAGAGATCAAGTCAAGTCAAGAGCTTTAATTATACTGCTGCGGGTTTCCCAGTGATTGGGGTAGACAGCAATTGGCTAATTCTCACTCCTTTCCAACCATCCCTGTCAAGCAAGCTAATGTGGAATAGGCCACACTTTGCACATCTCTGCCAATTGCAGGCCTTCCGCATCTTCCTAGGTCTATCTCAACCTCTGTGACCAGGAACCCTGAACTCCAAGACAGTCCTGATGCAAGACGAAGCTCAGTGGACATGACCAAACCATCTAAAACAACGGGTGCACAGCACTGATGTTATATTCTCAATACCGATCTTTGTTAACAACTCATATCACAGTTTTTTGTTATTGTTGTTTTTTTCTAGCTCTCTGTACTACTGGTTTGTATGTGTAAAATTTAGAATTACCAATTTTGGACACTATGGTCTTCCCTTGACAAACAATATTTTTGGAACTTGAAAAATTACATAAAGTGATGTTGTATATTAAAGCTTTAGAATTTAGATAAATGCACTAGAGTGGAGAAAATAAGGGAGGCTGATAAATTACGTAGGCAATTTGTACATGCATAAAGGAGAAACTGATATCTTTGGTTAAATGTAATATAATTTTTCATAAGAAAAAGAGTTTCTGAATCTGAGATGTCTATGATTGTTCAGTTTGCCTGAAGTTTAGATGTGGTTGGATTGTCACTTGGAAACATGTTCAGTGATGCAGTATATTTGGATTTAAAGTAGCACGGACATAATCAATATTGGATTCTACACCTAATTGATACAGCCACTACATACTCTACTGCCAAACTGATTAAAACCAAAAGAAATTATTTGCAACATATTTTTAATGTAGATAATTTGGAACTCCCAAGTGGTATTTGAGTGACAATGGGGGAGAGTTTAATAATAAAAGCAATCAACAGATAAATGAAAAGTTAAACAGTAAAACCTGCAGTACTGTAGTGGGATGCCACAATCTGATATTAGCTGAAGTAATGAAAAAAACATAAATGAGAAATGTGAGCCAGAAATAGCTCTGGCTTGGGCTGTTAGTGTCAAAATTTCACTTCAGAATCACTGAATGTGTTCAATGTAAACCTGCCATCAATTTTGACTGATAAATTACCTGTTCTGGAGTCTGAAACTCCACTAGTGACATGGTTAGAGTAAATTTAAAAGCTCTACATGCAGCAAGAAAAAGGATTATGGAGGCAAGTGAAAAATCCAGTGAGCATTGCAATCCAATGTGAGAACTTATGTGGATGAAAATCTTTTGACTAGTGGCAATGTTTATTATATAAGGCAAAACTGCAAAAGATGACATAGTCCTGCTAAAGTATTAGGAAAGGAAGGTCAGTGTGTATTGATCAGATATAGAACATTTTTCAGAATACATCCATGTCACTTGATGAAAGTAAATAACAAGAAATTTGATTTGAAGCTCATTCCAGAATTTCATGGTTCTACCTCAGTTGTATCATTGGTTGAGAAAGTAGAATTAATTTGCCGTTTAAATGGGGTGAAGAGAATGGAGCACGTCATTCCATTGTGACTGGCCAGAGGCGCATTTGATGTGTACCAACAGATGGAGGAGATTGAAAAAGAGGACACGGTAAGAATAAAGGCCGTACTACCTCCCAGCAGGATGTCTCACCCAAGAAGACGATGAAGCAGCAGCAACAGAAAGAGCAGGGGAAAGAAGACGGGTAGCATCATCAATCCCAACATCAGATGCATCAGCAAACCGTGCAGACAAAGCCATGTGCTTTGAGGGGACGAACAATTTAAAGCAACCTGCATCCGCACGATCATAGAGGATGTGGAAGACGGCGAGCAAGCCGCGCTGATCAATTTAAATCAGTTCAAGGCATTCGATAGGGTCGACTATCAGTACCTGGCGGCTATTCTGTGGGTCGCCGGATTCGAACCCGACTTCTGCAAGTGGATTAGCCTCCTCTATTGCTCGCCCAGTGCTGTAGTACAGGTGAACAGAAAGCAGTCGAGCACTTTTGCGCTGTCTCAGACGGTTCTTCAGGGTTGTCCGCTGTCGCCCTTACGGCGTTTAGCGTTGGAGCCTATGTGGAATCGCCGTCCCTGAAGGTCAAACAGGTTTTCCACGTACGCCGATGACGTGTCTATTTTCGTGTCGTTCCCTAGCGACATTGAGGTGGAACAGAAGGAGGCTGAGCGGCACGAGAAGGTGACGGGTGTCAAAATTAATCGCGACACGGTTTCGGGTCGCGGTTAAGTTCCCTTTAGTTGGTCAGACGGACCCGTCCGCATTCTTGGAGTGTGGTTCGCGCCCAGTCTCCCGCTAAAGAAGAATTGGTTTGAAATGCAATTACCAAGTGTCGTGTACGATTTAGGAAACAGGTTGGGTCGACAAACACCTGTATGCTAATACCTAGACCCTGTAGCGGACACCCCGAGCGCCGCTGTATCACCAAAAGGGTGATGAGGTCACAAGAGGCCCGCTAACATTTTTCGAAGACGTTACATCTGACAAGGTGAAATAACATAGACGACAGAACGAGGATATATACGATATATGCTAATTTATTCTAGAAAAAGAAATAAAGGTGGTCGGAACGGTAGAGATGCAGATGTTTCGGTGCAGGCATTGATGGTCGAGGTTTGGTTGTTACAGGTGATCGCTGTTGGCCATGCAGGTGGTCGCTGCAGAAATGAAGTTGAAGTTGGTCGTTACAGATGATCGCTGCTGGTCATGCAGGTGGTAGCTGCTGGTCGTTGCAGGTGATCGCTGTAGTTGAAGTTGATGTTGGTCGTTGCCGGGATGATCGCTGTTGGTTGTTGCAGTTGATGTTGGTCGTGGCCGGGATGCCAACTTGACGTGTTGGAAAGGAGAGAGGAGCTGGCGTTGTTCGGGCATGTCAAAGGTCCAGTACAGGCGTTGCATGTTGCCGGTCGTGTCCGATATTAGTAACCTCCCGTAATAATTACAAACGTTGTGTACGGGAAAGGTTATGGACGACGTGCAGGCAGCCAGTAGGGACGGAATGCCGAGAGTCGAACGGGGCCAAATGAGCCAGGAGTAGTAAGCGAAGGAGAGAGAGAAAGAAAGTTTCCAACTATCGTCAAGTTGGCAGACAAAAAAAATGGGAGCGTAATACGCAGCCCGCTGATCGACATTCCTGGCCACGAAGGCCAGGAGCCTGCGTATCCGACCGTTTCAGTCGCCGACCATAAATTTAGTGAGAAGTCACTGTCTTGTGGTAAGGGAGACCAGAAAGAGAATTGGGTAAGCTAACAGTAAAGTTTATATAAAAAATAAGTCGAGATTAGCTAAAAGGAAACTTAGGCCTAAAAATGTCTAGAAGTATCTTACAACTAGGTTTGTAATATAAGTAAACTGAAAAGGTAACTTGCTAGTCTCTACCACGGGTTAACAGCGTATAGGGAGCACAACCGAGAGGTCAAGGTCGAAATGACCTGTTTCTTTTCCGGTTTCAGGAGCCTAGTAGGAGGTAACTCCGACAACCCTAACAACTATTAACAAGCTACTGTATGCTGTAATTGATATGAAATAGTATGTTATTTCGAGTGTTATTTTCTACTGTTTTACGGTGCGTCTTCACCCGTCTTGGGATAGTACCATACGAAGATGCCCACGACGAGTCGATCTTAGCCTGCGAATCGACCGAATCACAACGTGGGGTAAGGCAGGTCAGGATCGAAGAGATCACTCCATCGATCAGCCATATACATATCCATATATATATATATATATATATATATATACTTCCATATATATATATATGTATATATAATAAATCCTAAAGAGCCAGGAACAACCTACCTAGGTCTCACCTAAACGGACACAAAAGTAAATTGATGTATATTGATACTCATAATTCCACTAACACGCAAGATAGGGCCAGCAAGATATTATGGTTTAACCCCCCATATAATGTAACCGTTACAACTAAAATAGGAAAAATATTTTTTAAATTAATAAAAAAGAAATTCCTCCCTACAAACGTATTGTACAAAATTTTCAACAGAAATTATGTTAAATTAAATTATAGTGGTACATTAACATGGCTAACTTAATAAATATAAAAAAAAAAATCATAGACAAACCACACTCCAACCCGCCTAAATGCAAATGTAGAAATAAGGATGCCTGCCCACTTAAGGACAGGTACCGACAAGAATGTGTCGTTTACAAGGTTGAAATACACAGAAACAAACCTAATAATAGTAATAAGAACATTAAATTTTACATAGAATCCACCCAAGGTAATTTCAAATGCGTTATTATAATCATTTAAGTAGCTTTAAGCATGAAAATTACGAACACAGCAAAAGTCTGTCTATATACATATGGATTGTTGAATAGGAAGATGGTATTGACCCATTTAAAAATAAGAAATACTAAAAAAAAATGCTATAAGTATAAAGCAGGGAACAAGTATTGATGTATGGAGGAAAAATTAGCAATAACTATCCCCGAGGAACCTAAGTATTTATTAAATCAAAGTTCTGAGATTTTAAATAGGTGTATGCATAGGAAATCCTGGTTATTGAAATAGAGGCTCTGTGGGCTTTTTTTCCTATCTTCTTCTGTCACGTGGTTTTATGCTAATTAGTTTGTAGTGGTTTTATCAATAAAAATTGTTTTGTGCCATTTCCTCTTTAGCCAGATTACCCTGAAGATCCTAGGTAGGTTGTTCCTGGCTCTTTAGGATTTATTTTATTTATCCCAGCTCTGCTTAGCGTATTGAGCACTCAACGTTTTAGCTTTATTACTCGCTTGGGTGTTTTTTCTTTGGACTAAAAACTTAAGGCACTGGACGATTTGTTTCGCCCTGTTCGGATGTTTCTAATTCTTTCTTTTTTTTCCCCCAATATTTTCCTCGGGTACCAATTTGTTTTGATATACTTACAAGTTGTGCTATTCGAGATTTTTTTACCAACTGAATATTACCTATTAGTGTAAAGCGTGAAACCCAGGGTCACAAACTCACATCTATCCAACCAAATATGTTAGCTCTATCTCTGATATTGAGCGCTTTCTAATAAGTACCGCGCATATAATATATAAATAATAATATATATAATATATTACACATATATATATATATTTATATTTATATACACTTTTTCTCTCTCTCTCTCTCTCTCTCACACACACACACATATATATATATATATATATATATATATATATATATATATATATGAAGCTTACGAAGAAGGCCTATCAAACGCTTTAGAGATATCTAGAGCCACAGCACGAGCTTCTCTGTTATTGTGAAGTGCTTGGTAAACAAATT